TCCATGGAAGGAGCATTTCTGTCCGCTTATGGCTGCCCACATGTCTCTGTTGGTAGGGGTTCAAAATTGGGCTTTGGAGTCAAACAGACGAGGCTTGTGTCCCAGCCCCAATGCTTTCCAGCTGAGTGGCCTTAGGCAACTTACTGTATTTCTCTGAACCAGTCTCCTCACCCGTGAATGGAAGAAATTAAATAACAGACTGTGGTCATTCAGTAGCATCAGGTACAATGTAACATATGTTTTATTATAATAATAGTAACATGTACATAATACAGTGTTAGTGCCTGGTGCTCAACAGGCCCAATAAAATGCTGACCACTCTCACTAACAGCTGTCATCCTTTCTATGGCAGTTTGTTGGGAAGGGCTGGCTGGAGCCAGGAACGGACTTTCCCCTGAGGATCAAGAGTGGGTGCATCCAAGGCCAGGCAGTGAAGTGGTACATGCCTGTCCCAGCTACTGAGGAAGCAGAGACAAAAGGATCAAATTTCCAGACCAGCCTGGGCAAAGCTAGCAAGACCCTATCTCAACAAGAAGCCAGGCATGGTATTGTGCTCTGTAATCCCAGTTATTACTGAGGTAGAAATAAGAGGACTGTGGTCCAAAAGGCCAGCCTGGGTAAAGTTAGCTCAAGACCATCTGGAAAACAAATTAAAAGCCGAAGCGCTGGGATGCGGCTCGAGTGGTAGAGCACCCGAGTGCAACTCCAGAAAGGCAGAAAAACCACAAATAAATGGCTGTGTTCAAGCTGAGGAGGAGCGAGGGGAGAAACCAATGGGTCAGACAGAACTTGGGTGCAAACCAGCAGGGGACTGATTAAGTGCTGGCCTGAGGAACTGGGATTTAAGTGAAGGTGGCAATAGGAAAACAATTTTAAAAACCTCTTCCTGAAGTCAGGTCTGGTGGCTCACACCTCTAATCCCAGGTACTTTGGAGGATCTTGAGTTTGGGGCCAACCCCTGTCAAAGTTAGTGAGACTTTGTCTCAAAAACAAAATACAAAAAAAAAACCCAAAAAACCCAGAGGCCTAGGACTGACACATGCGGTGGAGCTTGCCTAGCATGCACGAAGCCCTGGGTTTAATCCCCATTACAGGAAGGGAGAGAGGGCTGCATCACAGAAGCTGATGTTTAAAGAGTCTGGCAGCTTCATGACTAAGCATTTTTGACAACTGTCAAAGAGTCACAGTGAGATGGCTACTGACCAGGTCAGGAAAAGAAAGAGTGTCCTTACTCCTGTCACCTGAGTCCACAAAGTGGGAGGCCAGGGAAGATATTTACTCTCATGTCCAGAGGCAAAGAAAGCTGCATTCTGCAGAATGGCCAAAGCCATCAGCAAGTGATGGAGGAGAAACCTGGCATTTAATTAGTTTTTCAAAGTGCTGGTTCAGCAGCCTCTCTGCTTTACATTTTGCATATTGAACGAGCTCATCTAATGGGGTCTGAGCTGCTCTGGCCTGCTGTGGTGGCAAGTTCCTACTTGGTTTGTAAGAACACAATGAACTCTGGTGTCTGAGTCTCAGGAACTCAGCTCAGCCACAGAGGCTTCACTCTGTGGTCCATTTGGGCCCCTGGCCATTTCCTCCTCTCCAGCTTTTAGATCAAATCCACATTCATTAACGCTGCTGGTGGAAGAAAGTAGGCAACTCAGGAGAGGGAAGGGAAGTTTCAGTTTTGTTGCTTAGCAACTGGAGTGTCCAGCCTCATGTCTGGAGTGAGGTCAGGGCAGTGATTCTCATAGCTGTGACTAGGGCCCATTTCTAGAAATTACTACAGGTGGGGAGGCTAGCACATGTCCATTGAAAGAGCTTTACAGGTGTGATTCTGTTGTATGCCACTGGTCAAGAATTACCTGTTTAAAGAATTCTTTCCAGCTTTCAGTTCTCCATACCATCTATTGCTTTCTACAAGTAGGGAGAGTCAAGAAGGGACTGTCTGCACAGGAAATGCACACAGATACCTGGGTGCTCCAGGGACTTCTTTTGACAAGACTGGAGGCAACACATTTGGAACCTAGGGTGAAAATTGAGAGAAGCAGGGTCTAGTTTCTGCCTCATTGCTAACTAACTCTGTGATTTGAGGGAGGCCATGGCTATAGTCACAGTGCCCAGTGTTCCTGGGCAGTGTGACTGGGCAGTGTAAATGCTACTGCTGTAATGTACCATCTCTTTTCCAGATCTCAACTGACATAGTGCTGATAGATGTGGAAGTCTCCGGACAGTTGAAAAGTGCTGTCTGTGTGAGGTGGTCTTACTAGGATTATGACCATCTTCAGGTTCCCAGCCTCTAACTGGCCACTTCTGGGGAATAAGCCTTGAGGCCCCTGGGAAGTAATGGATGGGAAGCCCAAGGTTGTGCTGACCACAGCTCTACAGACTGCCTGGCCACGGCCTCAGCAGCAGACTCAGACTCCTCAGAATTTGGGGAAGAGGCATGTCTGTGTGGAGAACCCACAATTCCTTACCTCAGCCTCTGCTTCTACACAGTCTGCATGAGGGAGGACCTCAGCCCCAAATCCTCTGCTTAGCCAGCCTGATGAGCTGTGGTAGTCCACTGTGTTTTAGGTTTCTGTTTGACTGTTTGTTTTTAACCTGACACCAATAATTTAAAAATACACCTTATATTATGACAGGTTACACATGCATATAAAATTGAAAGCAAAATTTTGCAATACACTTTCTTTTCTATGCTATAAAAAAGAATTAAAAAAGCAAAAGAAAATGAAAAAGAAGAGGAAGAAAGGGACACTGGTGGTATTCTGCTAAATTGATTTCATGTCTCAGTAATAGTTATGACCTATAGCTTAAAAAACATTGGGCTATGTTTGTGTCTTCTGAGCTCCATATCTGAGTGTTACCTAAGATGCCTTTGGGGGACCAGGCAGATAAAGTAAATCTGCAAAGTGAGGGTTTTTTTCAGATTATATTGCTGAGACACATATATGGATTATTTGCACGTTTGTATTTCTATAGAAAAATACACTCTCTACCAGTTCTAAAACAAGCTTCCCACTCAGTCTTCCTTTGACTTTCTCACATTTTTTTCTTACCACTCAGAAGGTGGCCTTGGCAGGTCTCAGGTGTTCTTCAGTTGTAGTCCTTTGACGTGGCTCAGACATTGGAATCTCACAGAGAAGCCCCATGGAGGTGGCACCCAGGGGACCTAGCTGCAGTTCACCTTGGCTGCCCTTGGCTGCTTTCTTCCCACCGCCCTCTTACCTTTAACTGCTCAGGCTCCTTGCTTGCCATTTCAGAGTCTGGGAGATTGTGCTCATCAGCTTTCCTTTGCTGGGACAAAATACTTCAGATAACGAACTTAAAAGGATGAAATGTTTATTTTGGCTCGTGGTTTCAGAGGTTTCAGTTAGTCCGTGGTCGCTTGGCCCTGTTGCTTTGGGCCCATGGTGGCACAATGTAGTATTATGACAGGGGCACATGGTAGGAGATACTGTTCATGTCATGGTGACCAGGAAGGAGAGGGCGAGGGAGAAGAGATGAGAGAAGAGACAAGCCCTCAATATCCCCTTGACCTAATTTCTTTCCACTAGGGTCCTACCTTCTTAAGGTTCTACCACCTCCAAACAGCACCACAGTCTAGTAACCACGCCTTTAACACATGGGGCTTTGGAGGACATTTAAGATCTAAACCATAACATAGATCCCCTGTTCTTCCAATATCTCCTCATTCTCTGCTCCCTCCTGACTTCAGCCATCACTTTCTGCTTTAAAAAAAAAAAGTACAGTTGATATAGTCTAAATTTAATTTTTGAATTATTTTATATGACAAAAAATTAATTTATGATTACACTGTTGGGGAGAGGGGTTTCTTATATCTTACAGGAATTGGTGGCTCCAATGCAGCTCTTACTGGTAAGGTTTGCAGACTTGCACTGTAAGGTCATTCTCATGTATCCTGCCTCTGGGCCCTTATGACATTGCCACCATCTCTTACACCTGCTCATCATGGTGCTAGATTTCTGGCTGAAAATAATGTATTTAAAGCAACAACAACAACAGCAACAACAAAACCCCTCTGTTACTGTGGGACTTTTCAGACATACAGTAGTGTAATCAACATGTACCCAAAACACAACAATTGTCAATCTCAGAAAAGTTTTGATCAGTATTTCTTGGAATGTCAGTAGTAACAGACATAGATAGAGTAGAATTACCTGGAAATGTGCCTAAAATGCTTCATCCTGCCCTGGGGGTGTGACTCAGTGAAAGAGCACCCAGCTAGTATCTGTTAGACCTGGAATTTGATCCCAAATACTGCAAAACAATAACAACAACAACAACAATGATAATAATGGGTAGTCCTGGGCTCCCATCCCAGCTGATTCAAAAGTCTCTTACTGCTAATTCCAGTAATCTGCATATCTAACAGGCTTCTCAGATGGTTTTTACACCACTGATGTGTGAGAACTGCTGCCTTAAGTAAAGATGTATCACCCAGGCATCCTGGTTCTCATGGAATGTCTTAGGCTTACTCCTTACCCAACACCTGTCAAGAGGTCTCTGGCCTTTCATTCAGATGAGACAGGAGAACACTTACCAGGCCTCCTGCCTGAACTGCCCTGCAGGTTGAACTGAGGTCAGTGCATACCCCTTTGCTCCAGGCAAGCTGTGACAACTCACAGCACCAAATAAGACCCTGAGCCTCAGACATGAGAAAATGCTCTTATCAACAACAGTCAGTTCATTGCTGAAAGAGGGGAGGATGCAGTATCATCTGTATTCATTTGAGTTTTAAGCTTCTTGCTGAACCTGCACTTAAACTCAGTGATTTCATTTGGAGTTACACTGAGATAAGGCTCTGAGAAGGCCCACCGTGTCTTTAGCTCATTCATGCAAGTTATGGAACTTGGTCTATAAAGAGGAATTCAGACAATCAGAGCCCTTGGGTGTTCTAATTTGCCCCTACTTTTGAAACTTTTCCTCCAGGACCCTACCCAATATGTAAGACTCAGGTTCATATAAACCTCATCTTTTCTGTTTTTCAGATTGGGAAGGAAGGCTTCTGAAGAGATAGAAGAGTATGTTTCTACTGTTGTGTGTGTCCTGTGGTGACCTTTGTCAGCTGTGCAGTCTTGGTGGTCAGATTTCTTCAACCTATGTTGAGCACAGCATTAAAGAATTAGACAGTTGAAATAAGCTGTGGCCTGGGGTTGGAACTATGCATAGCGTATCAAGGGCTTATATAAATGCTGCTTCCTCACGTGAAGGTCTGAACTCTGGCACTGATGCCATTTTAGAATTGTGTGTCCATCTATCAGAGTACTGACTCAGACTTCTGCTGTAAGAGCAATTTTAGCTTCATAAGCCTTTCCTTCTCCTAAGACTTACATCAAAAAAAATAAAAGCAGGAGGAAAAGGTTTCTAAATAAAGATGGTGGTAAAGACAGAGCCACCCAATTTCACACCTCCACGGGCAGGAGGAGCATTCATGTCATAGTCTCTGTGATGCCACCCTCTGGAATGGTATATTTACAGTCATGCAATCATACATGGCAGATGCACTTGCCCAGTTAGGTTTGATCAAGATGATGGGGAAAGCAGGTCCAGAGACCTTTTTATCTAGGAAAAAGAAAGGATATAATAAAAACTTCGGTTGTTCTTTTCTGCGTTTGAAACTCATTTTCTTCTCTCCTTTTCTTCTTTTTCTGGGGGCAGCCATCGCCTCAGACAACAGAGCCTGTATGGATCAGATGATGGAGGAGGTAAGATGCTCTTGGAGGAAATCAAAAGTGTTTCTAGAGAAGCCCCAGAGCCTCCCAAGGATTTCTTGGGCTGCAGCTGTGGCACCATTTGCTGCAGCCTGACTGAAGACTTTTGCACTGGTCTCATCAGTGCTCTTGTCTCTACCCGGAGTGCCTCACCCCTTCTTACCCACTTGCCTTTCTTGTCTTTAAGAACTCAGCTGAAGTATCAGTCAGTTTTATATTGCTGTGACAAAAGACATGAGCTAAACAACTTCAGGGAGGAAAGATTTATTTTGGCCCACAGTTTAAGAGGTTTCAGTTCCTGGTTGGCTGGCTCCATTGCAGTTAGGCTGTGGTGAGACAGACATCATGGCCAGGAGCGTGTGGTAGAATGAGGCTGCTTACCTCATGACATCCCAGGAAGCCAGGGATGGGGCTGGGGGACAAGATAGAATCCGATCAGTCTCCACCTTCCACAGTTTCCACCACTTCTCAATGGTCCCTTCAGTTACAAACCGTCAATGGATTAATCCATTGATTAGGCTGGCACCCTTCTGATCAATCACTTCCTGAAGGCCCCTTCTCTGAACATTGCTTTGGAGACCATACCTTTACCTCTTGAGCCTTTTGGGGGACACTTAATATCCAAACCATAACATGAAGTATCACCTCCTCTGGAACATTTCCCCTTCCCACCCTCCTTCCTCTCTGACTCAGACGTTCTTTCTCCATGCTCCTACAACCTCCTTGGGAAACCTGTAACGCATCTTTCCACCTTAGCTGCTCTAAACTTTTGTTTTTCTTTGTCAGTTTTCAACAATTTGATATCTTAAAATAGTTTCTTTGTATTTATTCTATTTGAACTTCTGGAGTCAGTGGATTCATAGTTTTCATTCAAAATTCAAAATTTTAGCAATATTTCTTTCAATGTATTTTTCTCTCCTCCCACTTCTTCTGGGACTCCAAATTACAAGTATATACATCCAACTATATATTACTATTTTGAGTATCTGGATCTTGTCTTCCTTTAAATACTCTTCTATTTGTTTTGATAGACAGTTAATGTATTTGTTGATCAACTTGATCATTTTGAAAACTTTTTTAAGTTTTATTAGGGCAGGTCTAGAGTTAGCCCTAAACACTAAGACACTAAGATGTCTCTGCTGTGTGTCTGGTCGTTCATCCTTCCTGGCTGGGTGGAGCTCAGCCTCTTCCAGTTCTGTGTAAACTCTGGGGATTGTTCAGCTCACACCTTTCTGGTACGAATTCTTTGCTCAGCCTTGTGGAGATTCATCCTACAGAAGCACAACTTAGTATTTACGCAGTCTGAATTCAGAGCTTTTCCTCTAGAAAGCTCCCCAATCTTTCAGACTTTGCTTCTCAAATTGCAGCCCCCTAAATGAAATTTGTCTGTCTGTCCTCATCTCAGCTAGGCCTCCATGCTGTGTGGGTCCACAGGGCTTACTTACTTCATTGGTTTCCTTCTGTCAAGAATCAAGGTCTTATAATGCCTACTGACTAATATCTGAGAACAGTGCTATACATTTTTCCCACTTACCTCGTTGTTTATAGTGGGAGGGCACTTCTAGTACCAGTTACTCTCTCCTTGCAGCTAGAATTAGGATCCCAATGCCTTCTTTTAACAGCTTTGTAAGTAACAGAAAATTCATGATCCACTGAAGGTTTACTCACTTGTATCTTTCTCCAGGCTTTCTCCCACTCTATCTCGAACCTCTTTCCAACTCCCTTCAAAGAACTTTTGAAATCCTACTTTCACCACTTTTTTTCATTGTGCAAAATGCTCCACTTCAAGAAGTAACTATTAATTGATACAGCAAAACTTTCTGAGTGCTAGAGTTTTCATACATTATAAATGCATGTTATTAGAAGTTTGTTTTATTTTGAGACAGGGTCTCTCTTGGTAGCCCTGGCTGGCCTCAAACTCCCCATCCTTTTGCTTCTGTCAGAAGACCAAGTTCTGGGATTACAGGCATGCACCATCAGTCCTTGCTCATATTTTACATTTTGTGTCATTTAATTCTAAACATTAACCTATGGAAAAGATTTTTATTTTATTTATTTATTTTGGTGGCACTGTTTTGGTTGAACTCAGGGCCTCATTCTTGCTGAGCAGTACCACTTGAGCCACTTCCTCAGCCCTTTCTGCTTTAATTATTTTTAGGATAGGGTCTCACATTTATGCCATAGCTGGTCTGGACCATCCTGTGTCACTGGGATATCAGAGGCACACCACCATGCCCACCTTTTGGTGGAGATGGGGGTCTCACTAACTTCTTGCGTGGGCTGGCCTTGAACCTCTGTCATCCTGATCTCCACCTGATTAACTGTAATTCTAAGTGTGAACCACTGTACCCAGCGAAGGGAAGATGTTAAAATCAACTTTACTGGGATCTTATTTAAGTACAATAAACATTAACCATTTAAAGTACACAATTTGAGTTTGACTAATATATATACCCTGTGAAACCACTGCCACAATTAATCTACAGAATATCCTCATCACCCCCAAAGTTCCCTCATGCCACAATCCATCCCTTCTCTGCCCCTAGCCTCAGACAACTACTGTTGTGTTTTTTTGTCATTATATAGTTTCATTTCTAGAATTTTATATAAATGGAAGTCTAAGTGTGTATGCATTTGTGCCTGACTTTTTTCCCTCAGTGTAATCATTTTCAGATTCATCCAGATTGTTGCCTGTTCATTTTTTGTTGCTGAGTAGTATTCCATTGTAGGGACATATCACAGTGTGTTCACCTGTTGATAGACAGTTAAATTGTTCATTATCCCCATTTTGGCATTTATTTATTTATTTATTTTTTTGGTGGTACTAGGGTTTGAACTCAGGGCCTGTACTTGCTAGGCAGGTGCCTTACCACATGAGCCACACTCCCAGCCCCATTATCCGCATTTTGAAGATGAGCAGACTAAGGCAAAGTAAGGTGACCTTGCCCAAGGTCACACAGCTAGTAAATGGCAGCAGCAGGATTTGGAGACAGATCTTGACCCAGAGCTCTTGGTCTTAGCCTCTGTAATGAGTGATAGAACCCTCCAGAATTCTAGTGTCTCCTTCCACAGGCAGGTTGTCTGAATGTCAGCTCCTGAAGTTGTAGTATAGAGTGCCTAGAGTGATTGATGGGTTGCCTAGTGAAACTTCACTATGGAAGGAAAGAAGAAAGATGCCTATTTTCAGAGAATACTTCTAGTATTTCTCCCTTTATAAAATTGGAACATGAGACTTGTGATTTGGCTTTGTTTTTTTAGCCCTGGAGGTTTGGAGCATGAAACCCTTCCTTGTCAGAGACTGTGCTTGCTCTTACCTCTAGGAAGGCTGCCTCTTCCTTAACATAAATCTGTTTTCCATGCAGTTACGCTGTGTCCTTTAATGGAAAATCAGTTCATATGTTTTTGCAAGACCTTGACCAGTCTACAAGCTCAGGTGTTGTAGGGGTCAGACAGATATAAACATGTGGAACAGCAAAACTGTGAGGCAGTAAAGAATGATGGAATCTGTGGTAAACAGAGATAGGAGAGGACACAGTCTCAAAGTTTTATTTAAAATTCTTTCTTACTTTAAAAAATGCAGAGGGGCTAGAAGTGTAGCTCAGTAGCAGAATGCCTGTTTAGCATACATAAGGCTCTGGTTTGATCCCCAGCATAAATAAATAAATAAATTCAAATGTCAGAAATAATTTGTTTTGGGGGATACAAGGCCTTGTGTGTGCTAAACAGGCACTCTACCACTGAACTATACCTCCAGCCCCCAAGAAAGAATTTTTTTTACAACATTTTATAAGCAGAACATATTTGGAAGTTGGATTAAGCCTTTTTTGAGAACCAATTTGCAAATCCTTTATCAGATCTTGCATGGCCTACTCTAAAGGAACACAGAAGTTTACTGGGAAGCAAAACATAGAAGATGAAAAGTTCTATGAGCTTAGTAGCTAAGACAATAGGATAATGGATAGCAAAGGCAGCACATGGCTATGGCCATGTTAGTGACATTATTAGGGTCATGCTTTTTGGTGGGTGGGGAGAGGTGGACTAGAGTTTGAACTCAGGGCTTCATGTTTGCAAAGCAGTGCTGTACCACTTGAGCTATACCTCCAGTCCATTTTGCTCTGGTTATTTTGGAGATGGGGTCTCGTGAACTATTTGCCTGGGCTGGCCTTGAATTGTGCTCCTCCCTTTCTCAACCTCCCAAGTAGCTAGGGTTATAGGTATGAGCCATCAGCACCCGGCATGGGTTAAGTTATTATACCCATGAGATCAGAAAAGAAAGACATCCCTGTGGGCTAAGGGCACTTCATGAAGAAGGAATAACTTGTACTAGGTCCTGAAGGATAAATAGGATTTAGTTAGCTAGAGGAGAAAGTGAAAAGTTTTCCAAGACAAGATGCCTAGCATAAGGAGAGACTCCACATGGAGAATGAATAAGGAATTAGCCATAACCTGAAGAGAAGTTGGTTCTGTAGAGCTAAGCCCTGATTCTCCTCCATTTTCATCTATGCATATTCAACCTCCTCATATAAACTGCCTTCAGTGAAGTTACAAGATGCCAGTCATCTAACTTGTTGATTCTAGGTAGGCCACTTCCAGCTATTACTGGCACTGTGCTTCAGGGAAGTTGGAATTTGTGAATATGGAGAATAACTGGAGAATGGTGGTTGGCCAGATAAACCCCAGATGATCATTTGGTTCCAAAATTGTAGGATAGCAAAACCAATCTCTATTTAGATGAACATTCTTCCATGTCATAGTCATCCACTCTTAGAATCAAGTTTCTGGCTTGACTTATGGCCTTTGGACTTCTGTCATGAAAGGTTGCATGGTGTTAGAGAAGGAGCTCACATCTGGAATAGGATTGAACTCAGTCTCTACAAGTGACTTTGGGCAAGTCATTCATTGATTTATCCAGCAACCATTTGTTGAACACTCCCATGTGTGATGCTGGACACTGGTGATTTGACAGTGAATAAAACATTCATTATCCCCACCCTCATACAACTTACAGTTTGGTCTGGGAAATAGGGATTAAGCAAATTGTGCACAACTAAATAAATAGGGACAATTTGCCGGGCACCGGTGGCTCATGCCTGTAATCCTAGCTACTCAGAAGGCAGAGATCAGGAGGATCGCGGTTCAAAGCCAGCCCAGGCAAATAGTTTTCAAGATCCTAGCTCAAAAAAAACTCATCACAAAAAAAGACTGGTGGAGTGGCTCAAGGTGTGGGCCCTGAGTTCAAATCCCAGTACTGCAAAAAAATATATATATATAGGGACAATTTGTGATTGAGTCCCCTGAAGGAAGAGGCAGGGTGCTATGGGAAAGAACATGGAGACCTGATTTGGATTGTGTGATGAGGGAGGTCAGTCTGAAGAAGTGACATTCAAACTTCAACTTGAAGGAAGAGTAGAAATTGTCTGGGAAGGAGAGGTGGCATTCAAGGGGTAGTGGAGGAAGACAGGAAGGGCCTGTCACCTCCCCAGCCTCTTTTAGGCCTGCTTGGTCTTCTCTAGCTCTAAAACCCAACTGGTGGAAGACAAACTCAGGATAGAATGTAAAACTCTAAAGATGAACATTGAGAGCTGACAGATTGGGGAAAAAGAAATTCTTTACCCTTAAAAAAGATGGAGAACATTCAGGTTAAAATAATCTCTGAATACATATTTATACATGGACTCAACTTTCAGTTCATTTATATTAGAGCTAAATACAAGTTAGAAAAACAATTTGTGAG